GCTTACGTTCGTAGCTTCTCATAGCCGTGGGCCAATCGTGAAGCATCCGTTTGGCTACAGCCTCCCGTTGAACAATCGAGTGGTCCCCCTTAAAGGCGTCAGATATGTAGACATGTCTGAGATGGTTCATTGTAAGGTACCGTCCTTTGCTGAATTCGATGCCGGCGACGAATCGACTGAGGTAATTGTCGGACATTGGCGTCGTGACATCATTGAGCCGTGTCAAGAAGTATGCCCTTGGAATGAGGACCAAAGACCGTTTGATATATTGCGATAACCGTTTGCTCAATTCGAAATCCTGGCGTCCATACCGAGATGCGGTTTTGAAGGTCGTAAGTGTTAAGACGAAAGAGTCTTTGGAGCACTCCTTCAGCGCGTTGCCAGATTGCTCGTGCACACCCTGCGCTTCGGCGCTATGAAAGGAACCGTCTGGCTTTTGTAGAGGGAGATTGCTGAAATCCCGACGTTTTGGCGGCTCGAGGGTATTCGCGGCTAGCACGAGATGCTGAAAGACCGTTTTGATGTCGTCTCGTTCTAGTGGTCTTCCAAGTTGGTAAGTGTGGACGATCTGCCGTCTGATCTTTCGCCCGAGCTCTTCCATTTTTGCCTTGATTTCTGCCATACTGATCCAGTTTTCTTGCTCCCTTTGAGTGGGCGTTTGACATAAGGTTTGATTGCTCTGCTTGTTTTTCGCCAAAAGGAACGCGGCAAAGAACTGGTCGTACGCTTCGCCCCATTTTCGTGACTTTGAGATGGCCATCAGGGGTGTAAGCTTGTTGCAGAGGCTTCCTGGAGACCATGCCGCCTTTGCGGCGTTGCTTTGGCGTTCTCTTATGGCGTTCACGATGGTGCCGGCGTCTCTGATCCAATCTATGTCTGTCGGCAGCTCCGCCGTTTCATTATTGGTGATTAAGCCGTATATGATCCTTAGGCTATTGATGTACTGGGAGCAAGTTGATTCGGCACGATGTGAGCCGTCCTGTAAAACACTGAGATGAACCTGCTCACCACACATAGGGACTGCTCTCAGCTCGTTTGCTTGGTTGTCCCTGGGTGCTTCTTCGGTGCTTTGCTGAGTTGCCATTGCTGTTGTTGTGATCGTATGCAAGATTATAATTCTACAATTATCAAACGTGCCTCAATCAAAAATTCCGAATTATCTCTTTCGGAAAGGTTATATGTGGGTTATATGTCACAAGTCACAGGTTATACTCGATATTCCAGAATTGTGATTCACGGGGGTCGTATTTTTGAGATGGTGCTCCGAAGTGAAAAATAACAAACGGAATAAACGATATAGGGATCAACATCTACTCTGAGAATTTCTAGAAATTATCCAAAGACGCCAGAATTAGTGACGGAGCATGTTCGCAAATTTAGTGCATCAGGGTTCCTTGCTTTCATTGATAGCAATTGCTCTTTTCTAAATAGCATGGACACGCGGGATCTTGCTACAGGGTCCATCCTATGGCTACTGCATATTTTCACCGGTTCTACTACAGATCGAATGGATGACCAAGACTCTCAGCATCTCACAGCCGGAAGCAGCAATTGCCGATCCTTTCGTATCCTAGGCGCGTTCGACATGTCCAAGAGCTCAATAGTGGATCGATCCAATCTCCTGAATAACGGTCGATTCCTCATTAGCGCAAGCAACGGCCGAGTTTCTCAAGTTGGTACTCGTGCTGGCAGTATGCTCTACCGGAGACTCAAAGATACAGAAATCGATCGACTGCCATACAAGGCAGGAGTGCTTGCAGAAGAGACGACCAGAGGAAGCCGTCAAAAACGCTATGCATACGAAGTTACCTTGAGCAGCTTACCAATCGAAAAGCAAGCTTCTGAGCATATGGCCTTCCAGGGCTCCTATAAAACAACCGCCCTCAAGATGAAAGTGGAAGACTTCTACAAAGCAATGCATCCGGCCAACCGCCGGACGCGTGGCAGGTTGATTTCGTTCATTGAAGACGGCGACGTCAAACCCCGTCCACCGCGAAGCAAAGTTCATGTGCGTACAAAACCAATCATTGCAAAAACGAAGCAGGTTTCGACAGAGTAGAACGCTCTTCAGACCTTGCATCAGTACAACCTCAGATCAGCGATCTGATTCATTCTGAAAAGGGTGCTCTACGAGTCTTTGAAGGGTTAGCAAGAGCGTCGAGATGGAGATCCATGACTTCAGAGTTTTCATCCCAGAAACGGCTGCGGTAAGGGGTTTCAGAGGCATCTTCATTGGCCCAATCATGCGGAACGTCAGTTGGAGATCTAAAGTCTATTTTGTATGCCAGATCGTCCGCTAAAGCCTTGCTTCTTTTCTTATGCATTTTGAAGTGTGATTGTCGCAGACGTTGGGCGTCTCTTCTTGCCCTATTGGCCCGCTTTAAAGCAAGACTCCAGTCAACGTGAACCGTATAAGGAGATTCGTGCAAACCGGATTTATCCCAGTACGCATAGAAGCCCTCAGCCACCAGAGCTCTAACGACACTGCGTGTGATATGATGAAGGCTGAATGGCTTGGTTAGAGCTCGTATGCCGGCTAGGATTCCAATGTCGAGAGTCTTACTTAGAAGACCTTGCTCTTCGAAGCACCTTACAATTGCAAACTTTACCGATTCAAACACTGAACGGTCCATCTCTTTTATCATATGCTGCTCACGTGGTATGAATCCAATTATCGCTTCCATACATTCGTGTCGAAAACATGATTGATCACATGCCATGCGGTATACATGCATTGGGCTAGATATCTATGTGCATAGATAGGCTCAGATCCTTACCACTGCTTGGATTTAAGGGGCAACTTAGCTCTCACATACAAATACAATGGCTACATCTAGCATCTTGACAAACAAAGCGAATAAATTACAAGCTCGAGGATGACCACGTGATCAACGTTGACCCTAAGCTAACGCAGCACTAACAAGATATATACACCTTGAGCTATGTGCTCCTTGGAGGGGCGATTATGCAAGGCTCCACTACGGTCTCAATCTCAGGTGGGCCTAACTCGGCAAGCAAAGGGGCTCCAGAGGACCTACGTAGTAAGTGGTCAAACTCGCTCGCATCTACCACATCCAGGAACTCTCTGACAGCTGGAAGAAGCTCCATCCGGCACTTCCAAAACTCCGGCACCTCCCGGAATCGCAACTTCGTCAGCTTCGCCATGCGAAGGATGCTCTTCTCAGCCAAGCTGAGTTTGTAGTCGTTCAGCCCCGCGCTCGACCCGTAGTTCTTCCCCTTTCCCCGCCGCGCTCCACGGGAAACTTCCACGAGCTTCCCCAGCTTGAGGCCCATCCACCCCAAAACCACGTTGACTGCCTTCTTAATCTGCCCCGGCAGCAGATGAACCTGCCCCTCTTTTGGTCTCGGTAGCTTGAAGCGGAACAATTCGGAGGGAGTACGGGAGGCCAGAGACGAACTATCCGCAGCAAACTTGGCCCGCCCTTCAAAGATACCAGTCTTCATGAGCCGTTCCCTCAAACCGCCTGCTAAGAGCGTAGGGGTATACCCCTTGTCGAAAGGATGCGCCAGACCCAAAGCGCTGATCAGTTCCTTAGCATACTCAACCCTTAGGATTTCGAAGCTCTTGGGACCCATCGCCTTTTGGTCCAGCGTCTGCGCTGGGGCTGGGAGCAGTACCTTAAGGAGATTCGCCAAGGGCTCCGAGAAGGGCGACTTGTAGGCGGCCTGTGTCTTCAGGAAGAAGCTGTCATCGAGGTCCTTCAAACCATAGAATGCGCAAGCCTCGTACTTGGCGACCTCGTTATGCTGCGTCCCCCTGTCTCTCTTCACATCTCTCAAGCTAGCCAGCTCTGCATATTCCACTGCCCCGATCGTCTTTGCTTCGATGATGTCGTATGCTTCTTGAGTTAGCCCCCCTCTGCGCTTAGACTGCTTCGTGGGCTCCACGTAAGGCTCCACTTCCACAACGTGGCCGGCTTTTGCGACTTGCGCCTGGAATTCCTGAAGTAAGCGAGCGTCCGAGTTGCGTCGCTCCGCCTCCGTGTGTCCCAGCGTCCGAAAGAGAGGCCCGTCCTCGATCAACTGGACTGCCCCCGTCGCATTCTCAGCGCGAGAGCGTACACGACTCCAGGCAGCCGCCGCGCGTGAGGTGCAAGCTTGGAGGAACTGCAGCGTCTCGGCGGTTGTCACCCGTCTTGGGGGGAGAAACACCCCAGGCTGGCCGCCCTGCATGATCAACGAAGCACTGGTCAGGCTCTGATCGAGCAAAAGACGTCAGTGTCTTTTACGAGAGCTGCCTATTCTCTGACAATCACGCTGGACTATGGAATAGGCTGTGCAAGGCTCATTGTGCTACTGTGCTTATGTGGTCAACCATTTTGCCTGACCCGCCCAAGTCAAAAGTCCAATCAAGCAGAAAAACGTCCCCCGTAGCTCACAAACGGTTCAACGGTTCAATGACACTTGTGTTGAAGGCTCGACTCTGCAAATCGACCAAGGTAGGGCTGCTAGGCCAAAACATCATTTCGTGCTCTCACAGACTTACCTTGGCTTTCCCTTTCTTGCAATCCGAGTCTGAGGGGGGCATCGATGCCCGCTCTGCGCGGTGGGGCGCCTTCAAAGGGCTCCCATCTGCAACCTGCTCGTCGAGTCGCTCAACAGCATCGTCTTGTTGCACCTGGAGAGTGAGATCGTGCGCAACCATGAGACATCGATCATTCACAGACATAACTGCAGGGACAGATCATCCTAGTACGCTTGAAAAGCCACTGGTAAGCAATCAAACACTGATTGAAGTAACTTTCTCTGAAGCGCAGCAATGCTTAGAACCATTCAGCTCACGTGCCGGCCGCGTACCTCTGAAGTGACATCCTCATCCGCGTCTTGTACCGAAGGCTCCGGCTCTGGTGAGGACGTTCCAGCGGTCTCCTGCACATAATCAATTGAGCAGTATAAAGGCGATGCGAATCATCGTCACCCTAGTGACAACAACGACTCGGGGTTCCAAGCATTCCCTTCAACGACGGAACGTGACCGTTTAGAGCTTCTGGTGGAAGTTACTTGAGAGTCAGTCACGGATCGACCATATGTTCCAGTCCAACGATGAAAGCTCCAACGTACTACTAAACTCAATGTGCCGCGCTCGACCATTGGCAGAAACTACTAGAAACTACTATGAGTTTCTAACTTCTAAAGGTACAGGCTCCGATCTAGGATCATTGTAGATGATGCAACTTACCAGCTCGATGTCCAGATCTGCCGACGGAACCTCGGGAGCACAGTCAAGCCGTACGGAGATGCCCTGCTGCACGAAGCAGTACACCAAGGGGCTTTCCGTGCGACGGACCCGCAGCGAGGCCTGCCAAACAGCCCGAGCTGTCGTGCTCTGCTTGCACATGTACAGGTACTTGCTGTGAAACCACTCCTCGTCGAAGTTCACCCCCGCCTCGACCGAAGGGCTGTACATCAGCAGTCGAACTTTCCAGTTGACATTGACGTTCTCGAGCAGAGCAGTGTTGTCACCCCCGCTCATCGCCCTATGCATCAGAATGTCCCCCTCTTCGAGCCCAAGCGAGTGCCGACCCCCCCCACTCAGCACCCGGTCCCGTATCCTATCCAAGACACGGGCTGACATGCTGACGACGACGACATTCTTTCCGCTGGATAGGTCGCGCACGATGCGGTCCAGCCAGAGCGCTTCTTCTTGACAGACGCGGAACGTGAGAGGCACCTGCAGGAAAGTTTTAATAGAGATTCAGAGCAAGTATGAGCGCGGCCTAAACACAGTTTACTAGTCATCGAGCCTGTCAGGCGCTACCTGTGACGGACGCAGCAGAGAGGTGACCGAGAAAGCACTTTGACGTCAACTTGCAACCATTCTATGCTTGGAAGGAAGATAAATTGTGGTTCAATCTCTCAGAGGTAGTCATAAAAGGGGAGTATCGAGCAACCCACGGAAGCAGCAGCGGCTTTGCCAACACATGCTCAGAAGTTGGTAGATCAGCATTGACTCTATGAGCGCACGCGCATGTCTTCTTAACCACAAAAGGAACCAGAACCTCGAATCAGTGCATGCAACTAAATTCCTTGTACTTGTCGGCTTGGATCGTGGATGGTACAAGGAAGCTCACCTTTGCCCGTCTCGTATTGATGACGAGCTTCCCTGGTACCTTGGCCAGCTGAAAGAAGTCGTGCTCGCGCTGGCCGTAGCCGTCGTCCATGGCCAGAACCCGCTTGGCTTTCTGCACAATCTCGAGGAACAGCTCTCCGGTTTCGAGGCCGCACCTCAAGGTCGCAGAAGAGAGATGCGCCAGAATGCTGGCCGCCTCGTCCAGAATGACGAGATCGAAAGGGGCGACCTCGCCAACGCCGTGTGGGCGCAGGTTGAGCAGGCTGTCCACCTGAACCACGACCCAGGGGAACACGCTCCGGTTCTGGAGAGCAGTCAGGAAGTTGTTGGGGCAGTCCGGGTCTGGAAATAGCTCGTCCTTGTAGTCAGCCTTCAGATCGAGGTAGTTCGCAGAGTCAGGGAAGCGCTGCTTGAGATCTTTGGCTTGAGCGATGCAATACGTGATCATGAGTTTGGTCACAAGGCGCCCGTCAGCTTGAAGTAGGTGACGAATCTCCTCGAGAATGCTCTTGCAGAACTCCGTCTTGCCCGTGCCCACCCCAGAGCGGAATGCGAGCAGCTGAAAAGCTCCAGCGAGCCACCTGTGACAGCATGAAGCCAAAGGTTACATTGGTATCTGGATTTTGAGCCAGATTCGAGAGCGCGCTCCTTTCTTGGACCAAAGGATGCAAAGTGCAGCCCTGTTAATGTGTATAGAATCGTGCACCAAGAACGACGAGACTTAGGATGCATGTCGCAGGAAATGGAACTTTGTCAGATTGCGAAGATGTAGAAGCCTGTGCTGAGAATGAAGCTTGGACCTCGATCAACTTTTCTCCAGCAGCAGAGTGGCAATCCTTGCTGCAGAATTATTATGAAAACAACCAGAACACATTACTCAAATACATGCAACAAACAACTCTCAGATGTGGGATGTGGGAAAATTACTGGTCAGCGACCGTGTTAAGCTTCAGCACGTCCGTAGTTGGCTCTTGCCCATGTGCCACACGAGCGAGGAGCTCGGGACTCGATGCTGCTGGGTCTCGCTGCAAGTACTGCATGTCCACGCGGACAGCACCAGACTCGTAGTTGATGTCGTCCTCGAACAAATCCCCGAGGTAGAAGGCCTTGGCCCGGCACGGCAAATCAGATTCCCCACCTTCAGAGTTGGTGCTGAAGCAGAGGGCATAAATCTTGCCCTTGGGAGTCAGATGACAGGTCAGGTTCTGGTGGTTCTCGTGGATCCGACCCGTGTAGCAGGGTTCCGAGCGGTCGAAATAGTTGAAGCGATCGGGTCCCTCCACGTAGGCGGTGGGGTGCAGCCGCTCCCTGAGCAGCTCCAACATGCGGGCCCTGACAAAAGCCTCGTTCTTGGGCGTTCGCGTGGTCCCCTCGTGAGTCATCTGCTGGGGGGTCTTGTACTTTCGATGCAGATTCCCAGGCAGCTGGAACGGCACCTTGATCTCCTCACGAGCCTGCAAGAAAGACCAGAAGCACCTGATAAGCATATTGCCCCAGCTCATGTAAACAAACCAGCAGGACCAACGGACACATTAACAGCAGACTCTGAGGAAAGGGTTCGCATGCGGTTTAGCAACAAACGAGGACAAACGGGACAGAACAATTACAGATTGCTTCAATAGCAGCAAAACGGAGTGGCGTTCTACGGAAGTAAGGCCATAGGCAGAAACCGCATGACTTACCTCAAGTGGTTCCAGCCAGGTAACCAGGGCGTCCTTCCAAGTGTGACCCAAGTTCACGAACTGAAGGACGCTCTCAGGTTTCTCGATCTTGGCGCTTCCCGGCGTGCGCCACTCTCGATCTTTCGAGTACACATTCAGGTCGATGAGGGGGGCGACTGTAGGATACCAGGGCTGCAGCCTTCTCTTGAGACGGGTCGCAAAGTGCGCGGCGCCACTCTCGAAGTTGGACGCAAAGACAAGCTGGCGAGGGAGAAGCTGGTTGATGGTCAGGTGCAGGCTGACCTTGGCCTGCCCGCCGCTCTCCATCCAAACGAAGCTGCTCGGCTCTAAGTCTAGGGCGTAGCACTCCTTGAAAACGATGGTCGCCCACTCCTGGATTATCTCCATTACTTCCTCCAGCGTGTACCGCCCCTCGCTGGTTTCCCTGTGCTCCGCCGCACCACGCGCTTCTTCTCTGGCCCCACTGCTGGGCCCTGCTTCCGAGACAGCTGCACTATCCCCCGTTTTTGCCAAGGCTGCATCTGCTTGCTTCGACTTTCGCCTGAAGGGGAGCCCGTCCTTGCCATCCAGATCCAAGTAGGGCTTGCACGGCTGTCCGTTCTGAATGACTTCAAACACGGACCTGTGGCCGTCCAGGTTTCTGCAGGCCGTCTCCCAGTCTGGATAAGAGGCGAAGCTGCGCCACCCGATTGGGACCCCAGCTTCGGTGCGCATACCGGACCACTTGTGGAGCGCCACTTGCACCTCGTGGTTGAGCAGCGCAGCCTCTTGCTGCATGAAGTGCTTGGGCCCAGGAAAACGGCTCAGGTTCTTCCCCGCTTGGTGGAAGCAGTTGGTGCCGAATTCATGCACGCGCAGTACTCGAAAGCCGTCCTTCTTGAAGACCTCGTTCCCAGTCAAAGGCTCAGAGCGAATCTCTGGCTCAGGCACAGCGCTGAAGCCCTGGGGCAGCCCCCGTTCGGCGCCGCGCTTCCTGGAAAAGAGGATCACACAGGAATCAGATCGAATGCCCTCTGCAGGTACCTACTACTACGTGCCTCTGTATCCAAGGTCCGGCAGAAAGGGTTCGGTGGCATACAACAAAGCGGTATGTGTACCAAGCTGCGCATGTCTCTTCTTGAGATGTAAAAGGCTGTTTCTTGGTACGAACGTGGTCAACTACAAACACGCTGATTCGGTAACTCAGAGTTACGGCGGTTCTTGCAGTCAAGTACCAAGCTGTGCCTGTCTCTTTTTAGAAAGTAAGAGGCTGTTTCTTGGTACAAACGAGGTCAACTACAAAAGCTAACTTCCGAAATCCACACGCATAGCCCTCCTTCAGTCATGTACCAAGTTTCGCCTGTCTCTTTTTAG